CTTAATTGGTCAATAAGTAGTTGGCCTTCGATGAGAGAACTCTGGGGAGGACGGTATACGACTCCAAGTAGGAGTGTGGCTAACCTTGAGAGTTTGAGTTTAACCCATAAAGTATCTACTGGGCCTATTGGGTGGACTGAAATAACAACGGGAGGAGGGAGGGCGCAACTAAAGTAAGCTATTACACCACCTGCTCTGCCCCGAGCTGAGTCTGATCTTAACAATGTAAAGCCGGGAATGGAGATTTCCCCGTCTAGAACATTATCGTAGAGCCAGGTCTCGGTTTGGGTGATGACATGGGGGCGTTGCTCTGAGGTAAGTTCCTTTAGTTCAAGAACATTTTTGGGAGGCGAAGACAGTTACTAGAAATGCATTTAAATATGCGTCCATCAAAGTCCTTGAGTTCGTTAGGGAGAAAGGCGGGACCGGTTGAGCAGTCGGAAGCGATCTTAGAGGTGGTAGACGTACGGTTTGAGCGTACGTTGGTCAGGGGCTATCTTGGGAAGGTATCTCACCATCGACGAGGCCTCGTTATCAGCCTCTCTGGCGGGCGACCTGACGCAGCCCTCGTCCGAAAAATTGCTATTTACGGCCTCCATGAACACTGGAAAACTCCCATGTGATTGGGAAGCCATCATTGAAACTTCGATATACAAATTGTGATCCAGTACAAGCCCCGAAAACTACCGTTTGGTAGCCCTTCTTTCCATACTTTCAAAAGTAATGGAAAGCATAATAGACGATGGAATAGGAGAATTTCTTAGAGTCTCGTATTTCATCAACGCACATCAGCACGGATTCTGCAAAGGCCGGTCGTGCTTAACAAACCTAGCGGCAACAGACGATTAGACTAAAGAAGCAGACATGGGGAACAGCGTGGATGTTATATTTCTAGACTTCTACAAGGCCTTCGACAAAGTAACGCATCGAAAATTATGCGATAAACTCATGCAGTGGCATAATGGGAAGGTTACTAAGCTGGCTGAAAGACTACTTCAGTGATCGTAGGTATCAGGTGAAGGTCAATAGGGAGCTTTCAAGCCACCACTTAGTCCTTAGTGGAGTACCACAAGGATCTATACTAGGCCCCTTGCTCTTCATACTGTTTATCAACGACTTGGTGGGACTACTAACAACTAATCGTCTCCTGTACGCGGATGGCGTCAAGATCTGGCGCAGTATCAGAAACGAGGAGGACGGAGTAATCCTCCTCAGACGATGGGGAATCGAAAATGGTCTCCTCTTGAACCAGTCAAAATGCCATGTGGTACACGTCAGGGGAGAAACGGACAGCAGATACTACTTTAACTCGGTGCCACTGACGGTAGCTAAACAGGATACAGATCTAGGGTCGGTTCTGTCGGATCGTCCAAACTTCTCACAAAACTGCGCTAAGCTAGTGAAACGAGGCAGCCTAGTGCAGAGCCTAATAAACCGAAACCTGAGAAGACTGGAGCTCGAATGCTTCAGAATATTATACAGAACCTAAGTAAGACCCCACCTTGAATATAACATTCAAGCGTGTCCCCCAACCTTAGTAGGAGACATTAAATCACTGGAAGCGGTTCAGAGAAGAGCCACCAAGCGAGTCATCGGGCTATCGCAACTGAGCTACGAAGATAGACTTAAGCGACTCAATCTCTTTACCCTTTCCGACAGGATGCTGAGAAGGGACTTAATATTGATACACAAAATATTATCAACGCAGAGTCACCCAAACAGCGAACTAATAGCAATATCGTCGCACCGACAACTGTGAGGATACTCTAAGACCATCTTGCACCAGCAGAGTAGTACTAACAGCAGACGGTTACACTTCTCCATCCGACCAAATCCGCTTACAACTCATTAGCCGATGAAGTGGTCTCTGCGCCTACGATAGCGTGCTTCAAGCAAAGACGAGATAAACTCGCCGTGGGCATCACCTCGGCAGTGGACAGCAACCTTCTGTACCCTCGAAGTAATGTCAGGTGGACCTCTGGACTGTCCACGCAGCACACCTCGTAAGGCATGCAATTCGGTTCAGCTAACTGAATGCAGGTAACTAACCTGCTACGCCGTCAAGAAGTAACCTACTAACCTCTTTTATTCTTACACTTTCAAATTACAAGAATAAACGAATTCAAAACTGAAATTTCCAAACATCAGACTTTACCGTATAGATCAAGAAACAGGCAAAATTACAAGCCAACGAGCTTTCTCCGCCTGTAAACTGGACATTGGACATTGTCTCAGTCACCGGCACTAGCTGCTCAACGTATCACATCCACTCCCAGGTCCGGATCAACTACACCAACACTATCACCCACAGGACACAGACGTAACGATGAAGGCCCAGAGCTCACGCTAGTAGGATGGATGACATTGGTCACAGCTAACCGTGAGGATAAGCCGGACGATGTTGTGCCTACTCAGTTGGAGACTGGTAAGGAATTGTGGGCTACGGTGGCTCGAAGGGCCAATGTTGACGTCATTCCCTCTGTGGTGCCTCAGCGACTGAGGGCCAAGAATATGCCAGCGACAAAAAACGAAGAGGGCTCTCGGGAAGTTTGCCCGAGTGCGCACTAGACTCTAGTGACACCAAGGCTAGAAGGGAGGCTTGGGCTGGGGGTTATCGGGATTCTAAACGAATGCCTGCAGCCTAGGCCACAAGTGGAGAGAATTAAGGGCTCTAACCGTAGGATCAGACTGCATTGTGATTGCCGAGACATGGTTACATGAGGCCATCACAACAAAGAGCCTGCAACTCACCGGTTACTGCGCGTACAGGTCGGACAGGGAAGATGATAGGGGTGGGGTGGCATATTTCTCCTTGTTCCGGGCACACTAGATCAGGCCGAGGGCGATCACATGTCCACGCCGAATATCCAGGCGCACTCATGCACCATACAATCCCCAAACTGCATAGAGACGGTAGTAGGTGCCTACAGAGAATCACTCTCTGATGAGGAGGAGGATGGCCAACTGTGCGACTATCTGACCAGGGTAAGCAACCATGCGGAGCGGTTGGTCATCATGGGAGACTTCAACTCTCCGGAGGTAGACTGGGGAAGCCTGTGGGCCCCTCGCTCTGGTTTTGGTAGAAAACTAGTGAACTTGATGACAGTGCTTTCCCTGGTGCAGCACGTCAATCAACCAATAGATGGCGGGAGAGGCAAAGGCCTAGCATGTTGGACCTAGTTCTGTCCAAGATGCTGCATGATCTGGAACAGCTCGGGGTTTCTGCTCCCCTAGGGCGAAGTCACCATGGAGTAATTAGGTTCCGCATCAAGGGAAACCCTCCCTCGGTCCCACAAAAGCTCAGGAGGGACTATGGAAATCTGGATGTCCCGGTGCTCAGGCAAGCAGCAGAGGCAATCAAGTGGACAACGGATGGCCTCCATACCGTGGAGCTGGAATGACAGTTATTCAAAGACAGCATCACCCGGCTCACGGACGTTCTCGATCCCCTAAGAAGGGTTAGAAGAGGAGCCCGGCCGCCTTGGTGGGCAAAATAGGTAGACAGGGCACAAGCCATAAAGCGGAGGGCTTGGAACTGTCTCAGGAACAGGGGTGGCCATCGTCAGCACCTGCGTTATCGGGTGGCGAGAGAAGGGGTACTTAGGACTCAGAGACACTACCAAAGGAAATACGATAGTAGGATCGCTCGCAATGCCAAACAGCGACCAAAATCCTACTACAACTATGTGCAGTCTAAGGCTCACTCTAGGGTTACGGTTGGTAATGTAGTAAATGCAGACGGTGTCAGTGCAGCCTCCAGCAAGGTGAAGGCTGAAGTTCTAAAGAGCTTCTTCGAGAAGGTCCACTTAACGGACCTGGGAAGGCCGTTGCCTGACCTTCTGCGTAGACTTCCCAAACAGCGCATGGCCCTGTTTGTATTAGAGGCAAAGGAGGCAGAAGCAGCACTGAAACAACTAGATCAGAGTAAGGCGGCGCGGCCCGTATAGGATGCATCCAGCAATACTGCAGCCCATTGCTGACATTATTGCAGGTGCGCTTACTCAGCTTTACAACCGATCCCCTGCCCCTGCAACGCTGCCGGCGGACTGGACAACGGCAGAAGTGGTGCCAATCCACAAAGGTGGATCAAGGGCGGCTGCATCGAACTATCGTTCAGTAAGCCTGCTTTTGGTTGTCCTGAAACCCTTCGAGCGGCTCCTCAGGGAGAAGTTAGGNACTTCATAGCTGGCCAACAGCACGCCTTTGTCAACAGAAAGTCGTGTCTCACTAACCTCCTATCATTTCTGGACGAGGTAACAGACAGGTTGGACGCAGGGGATCGAGTCGAAATGTGTTACCCCGATTTCAGGAAAGCATTCCAATCGGTCAACCACAGATTTCTCCTGCGCAAACTGGAAGCCCTACGCGTAGACCAGCAGTTAGTGATCTGGATCAAAGCGTACCTACACGGAAGGGCGTTCAGTGTAAGGGTCGAACAGGAAACCTCGGGAACGGCAGCAGTCTGTAGTGGGGTACTTCAAGGCTCAATCCTTGGTCCTATACTATTTGTGCTGTATGTAAATTACGTCACTGAGGTCTCCCGGTGCCTTGGGTTCCGATTCGCAGATGACCTAAAAGTAGTAGGAAATCCCCCATAGGGGAATTGCAGAATGCACTCATCGCAATTAATGACTGGGTGACCTCATGGGAACTACCCCTCAACGCCAGCAAATGCAGGCACCTGCTGCTAAACAGAGGGACCTCGGAGGTGCGACAACTAGGTGCTGGGTTGATGAACACCATAGAA